TTAGCTTTTAGCAACTGTCCTGCCACTTTTAGCTTTTAGCTACTCTTCTGCTGTTTTTTTCCTGTTCTTTTAGCCGGTGTTCTGTTTTTATAAACGTTAACAGCTAAGTTTTAGCTGTCAGTTTTCAGTAAAGTCATTCAGCCCTCGGCCTTTCTGCAGAAAACTAATCTCCAGTTTTCCCTCTCCTCTGACATCATCCCTGTTTCTGCTGCCGTTTCTAATTCACAACTTGGTTTCTGTTGTGTTGATGTTCTGATGACTCTCAGGTTGGATGTGATGAGGAGGAGAAATATACATTTTGTGAAGATCTGGATGAAGTGACAGAGAGAATTCCCAGGAGGAGAGAGTGGTGATGGGAGCAGACCTGAATGGACATGATGGTGAAGGAAACAGAGAAGAGGAAGTGATGGGGAGGTTTGGTGCCAAGGAAAGAAACAGGAAGGACAGATGGTGGTGGATTTTATAAAGAGCATGGAAATGGCTGTAGTCGACACATATTTCCAAAACAGGGAGGAACAGAGAGTGAGCTGTACGAGTGGAGGAAGGAGTACGCAGGTCGACTCTGTAGAAGAAGAAACCTGAGGGAGAGTTAGGAGAAACAAGGATGGAGAAGATCAAGAATGAGATCATAAGAGGTACAGCACAGGTTGAACAACTGGGAGGTAAGAGAGGACACACTGGGATGGTTTGGACATATCCAGAGGAGGGTCAGTGGGTATACTGGTAGAAGGATGTTAGAAATGCAGCTGCCAGGAAAAAGACAAAAAGGAGACATATGGATGCAGCTAGAGAGGACATGGAGGTAGTTGGAGTGAGGACAGAGGACACAGAGGACAAAGGGAGATGGAGGAGGACTCGCTGTGGAGACCCCTGAAGAGGGAAAAGCTGAAAGAAGAAGAAGTATGTTAAATCTGGTCCTCTGGACATTCAAAAAGCAAAACAACAAAAAAAAAGTAGAAACATTTTGTCTCTCATCCGAGAGACTTCCTCAGTCTGAGGTGCTGTATTCAGCTCAGTCTCTTAAATAGCACCTTCTCAGAGTGGATCAACCAGTTTGCTGCTGACAACCAAAACCAGCTGATCACATGCTCAAGAAGGACCATGATCATCATTGAAACTGGTTGATCCACTCTGAGAAGGTGCTATTTAAGAGACTGAGCT